GCTGGAAGTAGGTATTTGCTGTCCTAATTGACTAATGTTAAAAGTCCATGTCATCTTGGTGGTGTTGGAGTGTGTGTGGCTTTTTCTGGTTTTCTCAATAGTTCCAAAAAACCCCAAAGAAAGCTGTGTGGTCCTTACATAATACAGATGCAGGAGTAGGTTATACCTTTATTAGACCACTAAAAATCAAACAATCAGTTAGCTTTCATGGGTGAAATGCACTTCTTCAGCCCTAGTAGGGCCTTCAAGTTTATTGAGATATTTAAGGAGTGATTTTGCCAGTATCACCCTCTCCATGAGTCTGCATGAGGCAGGTCTCTCAAGTTCTAGTTCATCACTCTGTCTGCTAAACCACACTGGGTGACCGATAGGAAGTTGACCCTTGGAAACATTGAGGATGGGTCTTTGACTTGAAATTTGAAAGGATTTGTCGCGGAGATTGTATCGTGGCTCTTTTGTGACAGGAACATTTCCAGCCATGTTTCTCGGATCATTACTGCAAGCAGCATTTCTTGCAGGGAAGGATGTGTTTCATCTAAACCCCAGAATCCCTTGCCTGCATTGCAGACTTCAGGCAGCACAGGGGCTTACCCTGTGTCCACACAGTTGTCAGAGAGAGTTGTTTTTACACCAATCAGGCCTGAGCCATATTGAGGAGAGTGACGGGCTGCTGACGTTTCATCTAAACCCCAGAATCCCTTGCCTACATTGCAGACTTCAGGCAGCACAGGGGAGAGAGACAGAGTTGTTTTTACACCAAGCAGGCCCGAGCCATATTGAAGAGAGTGATGGGCTGCTGATTATGGCATCTTCCCCAAAAGTTATCAGCCATCTCCTTCACAGGAGGTTCCTGAGTAACTGAATAAGAGAACAGATCTTATTATGAATGTGTGGCCATGGATGTGTGCCATCAAGCTGCTTCTGGCTTATTGTGACCCTAACAGAGTACATGATTAATATCTGATTGATTCACAGATGAGGAGGAGTCCGAGAGGATGGTGCCAAATTGTTCAGGACAGGGAAACCCCAAAGCAAACTGCAAAAAAACTTTTTAAAAGCCTTTCCCAAAACTAGAAGGTCAGGCGAGACCTGAGATTCATTGCAAATATCAAGTGATGCCACTCCTGGGCAAAGAATCCCAGCTATACCCATACAGTGATGGGATTTTAAACAGTTACAACAAACCAGGGGAGGGAGCTTAAGACTGTGGCTGAGGAGGATTCAATGAAATTTTCAGCACTGTGCACAGAAGTAGTTATAGAAAGAGAGGCACATATAATTTTATAAATTCTCTGGAAAAGAGAAGGTTAGTATCATTCTGCCTTTATACAAGCAGATGTTGTGGCTGTATCTGGAATACCGTACATAGTTCTAGTCACCCCTCTTTCAAAAATGACACCTTTGAGCTGAAAAAAGGAGCAGAAAAAGACAAGGAAGCTGACCAGGGCAATGGACTCCACCATCAAAAGGAAGAAAGGCAGAAATCTTTAGGATATTTAGTTTAGAGGTGCAAAGAGGTGTGAAAATGGACTCATCAGGACTCAGGACAGAAGCACATAAAAGAAAAATTATGAATTGTTTTACTTGACTTCTGTCCCACCTTTCTGCCAGTGAAGGGACTCAAGGTGATGTACAACAGCTAAAAAAAATACATGGATTTAAAATGACAATAAATTAGGATATGGATATTAAAATAAAAAGTAGATTGAGAGGAAATTGTTTGCATTGGTCATTGTACCAGAACTCACAGTTTCCACTCCCACAAAAAGGTCTGAATGGAAGATGTGGACAGAGAAGACCTTTCTTCATGTGATGCACAATCGATTGAAGGCATTTACAGCCCTCACAGAATGTGACAATGATGCCAACAGCTGTCATTGGAACAGAGCGTCCGTGTTCACAGGTGGAAAAGCTCTGATTTCCATGGGATTGCTGGGGTCTCCATAGGTGCTCTTGGGAAGCATTGAGGCTTTACTAGAAGGACATCATGTCAGATCCAGTGCAGATCTTGTGATATGAACAGTTTGAGGTTGGAGGAGAGAAAAGGGCACTTTTCTGAGCCAAGCCTGCTGGGTACAATGGCATAAAAACAGCAAATAATGCTCCTCCCCTTTGCCATTGGGGGGCCCCATTTTGGGGTGGAGTGCTGTGGTCTCACATGGCCTGAGGACCCCACAGCAGGCTGTGAGGGGCCAAACATTTCTCATTTCTGATGTACGTGTGTATGTGTGTGTGTTTGTATTTTCCCCCTTTTGCTTGCTGGAAAATGCAGTGTGTGGAATTGTGTACATGTGTAGTTCAAACTATATATGAGGTTGGAAGGGATACAGAAATCTGTCACACAGACTGAGCGTAGAGAAATCTTTCCTGAAGTCTAAGCAGCAAGGACATGCAGCCATCTTGAGGATCATCACAGGGACATTCCAGCTGATAACAGGGGCTGGATTTGGGGCTGAACAACTTTTCCGGTTCCCTCAGAACCATAGTTGTTAGATGAGAACAACTTTCTCCAGTGTACCACCCTCTCTTTTTGTCATTTTCAAGAGGGACGTGAAGTACATTAATACGTTTCCTGGCCCCTCCCATTAACTAATATCATTGTGATTCTCATGGCATGTTTCGGAGGGTGAAATGGGGTACAAATGAACAAACTTGCTGGATAGCTCCTTAATAGGTCTCCGGCTGCAGAGCCAGAGGTTGGGAGTTTGATTCCCCCACTGGGCCTCCTTGACAGGGGCTGGACTTGATAGGGTTCCTTCCAGCTCTGCAGTTCTAAAATGATGATGATGATGATGATGATGACATGAAAGACACTGTGGTTCTTGCCTGATTAAAGGAATCATAATCAAATCAAATAATCTCAATTTAAATTTGCATATATGTATATTTGCATGTGACTAATCCTAATTTTTCCCCTCCACAACTATATGTCTCCACAGACCACCATCTTGGAAGAGGTTTTCTCTCCTGTGTGAGCACGCGGAGGGTGCCCACCCTTTGCCTCTTTGAAAAGTGATTGGTAAAAAAAAAACTTTAACTCTCTTGTCCACTTAATCTGTGCTACCACAATTGTCACTGGGTGGAAGTCAACCTGGGTGATGCCAGCACAAACTAGCTCTGGCATGTTTTATGCACTCAATGTGGCTACAAACATGACTTCGGAGGCACCTGCCCTCAGAGGAGTAGCCTAGTTTAGTCTGGAAGGGCCGGCCATTGGGAAGAAGGTTACCAAATGTTGTGCTCTGGTTGAAAAGACCACCTTCCAACCATTACACTCCAAAGCCATTTGCATTGAAATCAGAGCTCTTCAAGGCATCCAATGTACTTTTTCATGGGTTAAAAAAAAATCTGGAAATCTAAAGAAAAGCCCTGCTGGGTGAGAGCAAAGGTCTAACCGGTTCAGCATTCCATTCCGACAGTGTCCAGCTATGGGAAGTCCACTGCTGGATGCCATCCTCCTACTCCTGCTATACTGGAGTCTACTGTCTCTAATACTGGACCCATCCTAACTCACAGCCACCCAATACCCTTTTCTTCCATCAGTTTAACCTGCTTTCAAAGCCACCCAACGAATTCATCATTTAAAGAGTAAAGCCTATATGCGTGTAGAAATTAAGAGAAACAGATGTCCTAAAATCAAAACAGAGGAGTTCGCTGTGCAGATACCATAAAAAATGGGGGAAAGCTCCAGCTAAAGTTACTGAGCAAAAGGAAAAAAGGAGTTACTCCGTTCCTCTTAATTGCCCTGCAACTGCAAGGCAACTAACCTTGATCATCCTGCCCATTTTTCGGGGGCTTGGCAGGAAGAGTGAGCGCTGGACTTATCGTCTGTGACTAGCGGGGTGGGGGTGGGGAGAAGCGAGAGAAGGGGGAGACCCTCCGCAATCAGAAGTGGGAATACCCGTCAGATTTCGAATTCATGGGGCGGCGCGCTCATTTGCACGGCAACGTTTCCAGAACGGATTGTGACATGATTGTTCAAAGTCATGACAGGGGAGCCCAACAATATCATTAACCAAGGGAAGCGCCTCGGCGGCTCATCTCCTGCAAGTGCAAGCGCTTTTGATCTGCCTAAGGAAAAGAGGGTCTCCCAAGTCGTCCCGCCTCGGTTGCGGAGGCACCAGCGCGAGTTAATAAAAGTTAATTGCCTTAATCACGCCTCCTCCGCGACCGGTTTCTCGGGGTGTTCAATTTCATGGCGGGTGGCTCCACCGGCTCTTTCCCAGCTAGCCAGCCAGCCTTCCCCTGCTTCACGATTCTTGGCCATTCCTCGCTGAAGAAGCGCTTCTCCCGTCAACGTCGCTCTTGGAGCCCCAACAGGAGCGGCACCCAAGCGGCCGCCCAGAGTTCCTATTTCTGGTGGGTTTTAAAAACAAAAAATCCTGTGCATCTCCCAAGCGGAAAGCCCTGTCTGGCAACTCCGGTGCCCCAGCGCAGTCTTCGGACCGCCAAGCTTGACTTAGGGAGAGAGAGCCTTGGAAGCGGAAATCGATCGCTTTCTCTGCCAAGCCAGAAGAAAACTTTATTGCACGACCAGGAAAGAGGTTCTTTCGGATGAGGTGAGGTGAGACCGGTGAAGAACCCAGAGCTAAAAAGCAACTGCAGAGCAGATCAAGTGACGACCGATTTCTCTAGCCCTAAAAAAAAAAAAGGCAAACGCGGGGAAAAAGAGATGGCGAGGCGCGGGAGGGGGGGGTAGTCAATTTCAAAGCGCTCCTGCGGCTCCTAGTTGCTACCGTCTAGTCAATTTCACGGGGCTTCTGCTCAGGTGGTCGCTGCCGTGCCTAACCTAGCCCGATCGGAGGTAATAATCATTCTAATAACAGCGAAGTCTAATCGCGAGGACTAATATGATCACAGCATTGCCTCTGAAGGATCTCTCCTCTCCCCGCTTCTCTCTCTCTCTCTCTCTCTCTCTCACCCAAATATGTCAAGACATATTCCAAGAAAGGCAGGAGGAGACAAACAGGCAAGCCAGAAGTGCGCCAGGTGAAACTTACCAGGCCTGGAATACGGACAGGAGGAAGACACCCACCAGAAGCTTAGCTGACATGATCCGAAGAGCGGGAAGAGCAGGGAAGAAAGTCCAAGCCAGCCCTGGCGGAGAGGGAGCAGGAGGCTCAGGGCGAGGTGG